ACTATTGCTGCTCTGTTCCTGTACCAGGCAGGCAGCCATCCATCTCTCCCAGGGCTTGGTCCAGCAGTCTCTCACCTGAAAATCCCTTCACAAAATCCCCAGCCAAATGTTCCTCCTCCAGGAGGCCCTCTGATTGCCCCAGCTCAAAGGATTCTCCATGCTCCCTTCCTGGCTGCCGGCGCCAGGCTAATGCTGGGCCGTGCTTCAGGCCCCCCAGGCAGCCTGTGTGCTTTCCTTCCCTCCTTGGCCTCTGGTTCTGGCTCCTCATCCTCTGGCTCCAACCCCACCCTTGTTCCAGGAGTTTTCCTGCCAGTGAGGAGGGAGATGGAAAGTCACAAAGCCCAGGGGCTTCAGGGAACTGGTCCCTGAGGTGTGAACCAGAGCTCTCCAGGCACCCTAAGCCTGTTTGCAGTGATGGCCTGGTCTGTGTCAGCTCCATGTCACTTGCTCCCCTCCCCCTGAGGCTAGCATGGGGCAAGACCAGATGTCTGGCCTGTTCTCCAGACTCCTCAGTGGATCCCTATCTCCTATCTCTGGGTTTTATAAACACTGCACCAGACCCACAGCCAGGTCCAGACAAGGACACACAAGATATACACACAGACCTCCAGTGATGCACACGTCACATGCATGGGCAGTCATGGACCCACACACATATGCACATACAGACCTCTATGAGTACACGAATGCACGCATGCACACACACATGGATATTCACACATGAGGAGTTGTGACTCTGATCAAGGAGGCAGCTTCTGGAATGAAGCTTCCCTCGCATGTTGACTGTGTAATAGTTTTCAAAGCCTGAAAAATCCATGATCTTATTTGAGTCGTAGTTCCTGGAGGTAGGAATGAAACTTCTCCAGGTGACTAATGAAGAAACTGAGGCTCTGAGGTATGGGGGAAGACAGCTTTCCAGGTTACCTCACAGGTCAGTGGCCAAGGCAGACCTGGAGCTCAGACTAGGTCTGTAAGAGGCCTCTGCCCCCACCAGCCTAGCCCCTGTGGCTCTGGATTCTTCCTTAGTAAGGGGTCTAGGCCTCCCTTCCATCCCTCTGCCTCCTTAATATGACCCTCTGCTGTCCTCAAAGGTAGCTGAGGGCAGCTTAGGGACACCAAGAGGTGAGCCCAGAGTCCCCAGGATATGGGTCAAAAGGCATCTTGCTGGAGGTGCCTGAGGGGAGCAGTTTGTGTTCACGGGCTCTCTGCCATCTCACCTGCCCAGAGACGGGGGTGACTGTGCTGGCACAGGAGGAGTCGCCTGCTCACCGCCCCCCCGCAGTCTGGGGATGCTCATAATAGGGTGATTCATCTCTCCTCTCCATTCCCCACTCCAGTCCAGAGCCAGCCCCTCACCCTTGAGGCCCCAAAGGAGTAGTGTCCAGCAGTGACCTAAAAGTGGGGGCACACCCTGGAAAGAGGAGGTCGAGCTTGAGGGACTCAATGGGTTTCTGTGCCCTGGCTCCCTGCCTCCCCTGTGCCTTAGTCCAGTGATTCCCTGGCCTCTCTGCCCTCTTCACCTCTCCTCCCCATCCCCATGGGGTGTGAATCCCAGCTCAGTACTGGTGGCGGAGTGAGACCTTAGCAGGAGACTTCTCTCCAAACCTCAGTTTTGTCCTGTGTGAAATGGGGAACATAACACCCACCTCTGGGGATTGTGCAAAAGTGGGAGGCAGTACTTTCTAAGCTTGAAAATGTCTGTTTGTCTGTTTTGATCCACCCCTCCCCCACCCCTCTCCAAGGTTCTGGAAGATGCTAGGAGGGCTGGTGGTGGGTCTCTACTCCTCCCCACCCCTGCCCCCACCTCTGAGTCGCTGACAGCAGGGCCCACGTCTCCTCTGTTGGTTCAGGCCACTCCCATTCGGCAAAAAGATTTTGGGGGGCAGGAAATGAAGGGTGTGCCGCCCCCACCCCTTATTGGGCTCCAGCCAGCCCCTCTGGTCCAGCAGGCTGGGACTTGGTGTCTTCAGCCCTTCCCTCTCCTGGGAACCCACTCCCTCAGCTCTGACCTCAAAGGAGTCACGGCCTCCCACAGGGTGGATGGGCTGTCAGGCTCCTTTCCTGGCTCAGCCCTCCTGCCCAGGGCCCAGGCGATATACACACCTTGCTCAAGATGCCTTGGGAAGAGGTGGGGGCTCTTCATCTGCCTCCTCCCGGAGCCAGCCTCCTAGGCCGGCTGGCTCCCATCCTGCAGTGGGCCCTGGCTTTCCTCCCCAAAATGCAGGAGAGAGCTTAGAGGGCCCTGGGTAAGCTGTGTGACTCAGGGGTTGGGGCCCCAGCAAGTTCAGTTTTCTCTCTGTGAAACCATGTGCTCTTCTGTCTTCTGCTCCAAGTGTGTCGCTCACAGCTACTGCAATGAGGCTGATGCCCCTCGGATTGTGCAGTGACCTACTTCTGCCCCTCAAACTCAGGCCAACCTCAAGCTTCTGTGCCAGCATCCTCAGACCTTGACCCACCTGGTCCATCCCAGATGACTCAAGGAGGGCTGACGGGAATAAGGGGCCCTCAGAAGGCATTGCATCCTTCCTTGCGCTCTCATGCCCATTAAGAAGCACAAAGACCTACCCATACCTTCTTAGCTCCAGTTCTCACCACTCCCAATGTGCATGTGTATGTACATATGTGAACATGTGTGTACACACTAGTTATGTCTATGAATGAGTTGTGTGGGAGTACATGGATTCATGGTCCTGAAGACTGGGCCCTGGAGGGGATCTCAAAGGCTCTCTGTGGGTGGGCTGTAGCCCTGGGATTATAGCTAGCCACAAACATGCATGCACACATGTGAGTACATGTAGGTACACATGTGTGAACATGTGCTGATTAATGTGAACAAGATATACAAATCCACAGTTGTATGTGCCTGCTCCCTCCTGGTACAGCACACATGAACACCTATGTGAGCTGAGTGCAAACACACGTGTACACAGGAGCCTGCATGTGCCTACTAGTGGCAGAACTGCCCCTGTTTTTCTCTCTCACTCTGGTTCCCAGACTCAGCTGCTGACAGGCTCAGGACAGAGCAGGGTGGGATGGGACGCTGTCACCTGGGATTCATATTTTTTTCAGTGTTGAGGAGCCCCGTGCTACTTCTTGTCCTGTGCTGCTCTGTGGAAGGCCCTAAGGCAGTGAGGGGCTGAAGGGTGCATCATGGGCTGAGGAGAAGAGAGGGCAGAATGGCAGGGGTTGCTCCCGGACTCCCACAGCCTGTGGTCTGGGCTCTGGCACCGGGAGGCTAGGGTTCTGTCTTGACTCATAGGCTGGCAGCAGGCCCAGTGGGAAGGCGAAATTGGTGATGGTTTTCTGATTCACCATGGGGCCTCCCAGCCCATGGGGGCCTGGTGGGGTGGGTTGCACCTTTCTGGGCCAAGGGCCATGAAAGGCTTCATGTGTAGGTTCCACATATGTGTAAGCCTATGACCAGGCTGTTATGTGAATGGGATCCCATGAGCATGTGAACAGAGCTCAGTGTCTACGTGAGAGTATGTGGCTGCGAGCCTCAGTGTGTGCATGTATGTGGATCTACCTTATATGTGTTGCCTCAGCTCAGTTGTTGTCGAGTCGACTTCGACTCCGGGTAACCCCATGTGTCTCAGGGTAGAACTGTGCTCCATAGGATTTCAATGGCTGATTTTTCAGAAGTAGATCACCAGGCCTTTCTTCCGAGGAGCCTCTGGGTGGTCTCGAACCTCCAACCTTTCAGTTAACAACTGAGCGAGTTGACCATTTGCACCACCCTGGCTGCTATACCCCATCATTTGGGCCTGGGCCACCTCTGACAACCATTCTTCAAGGGGCTAGTGCTTGGGGTCCTTACCCCACTTACATGAAATCCTTCTGGAACATATGGTTTCTTTCTGTCTCCCCTGGAAATGCTGTCATAGAGACTTGGGGTGAGGACACACTGCTTCCAGTCCTGTGAGAGCAGGGCCCAGGCTGCCAGGCCTTAGTTTCCCGATTATTAAATAAGACATGAGGGACAGGGTTGTCCATGACATTCCTCAGACAGGACTGACACCCCAGTTTAGCCAACTTAGCCTGTTAAAGAGACAGACTCTCCCCTGGCTTGGGATCAGCCAGAGTGGGAGAGAAGAGGGTTAAAAACATCTGCGACTCACCCTGCTGGCAAGCATGTGGCACGTGGCATGTGGCATGTCAGGACAACTGCAGCTCAGCTGCTGGAACCATGTGAAAAACGCACACAGGTACATGTGTGACAAACTCAGTTTGTTCAACAGGCAAGTGCACAGCTATGAGGGATGCCCAGCAAGAGTGATCAGGCACACAGAACATGTACCATGTGTGACCACAGCTGTGGACACAGCTGGCCAGGACAGGCAATAGGTGCCATGTACTCACAACACAAGGAGCGAGGGCCCCTGGGCTCTGGCTGGAACTCAGCACTCATGTTGACGTCCACCCAGGGCTGGGCTATTAGAGGGTCTCTTCTCACTTGAGACCCACAGCCTCCTCCCTCCCAGCCCCTCTACTGAGACCATGCTGGGCCCAGCTATCCTCAGAGTTGGAGCCAGTTCCTTTCCTTTCTGACAAGTCTCTCCTATCCCCCTACTCCCCCACCCCCCATGGCAGAGATGGCCACACCCCTCACTGTGAGTGGGCCAAGGGGTTTCTCTCTTTGGCAGCTCCGATCTTTCCAACCACAGTCCTGCACAGGGCCGGTACACCCGATAGTCCTCTCAGCCTCTGTGACACCCGCTCTCCTCAGTGCCCTCCAGGCCCATCCCAGCCCACAGAGCCTCACGGTCCCTGTCCCACACCTGCCTCCTAGCATACGCCAGCCTCCCAGCGAGGATGAGGGGCTGGGCCACCTGCTCCACAGGCCGTGGCCGCGCGGGGCGAGGCGGGCGGGGCCACGGGCGGGGGCGGGGGCCGCGCTTCCCCACACTCCTATAAAGGGCGCCACCCGTCGCTCCAGGCCACTGCTCCCTGCACCCGCCGTTCTCCCGCCAGAGAAAGCCGAGACGCCGCCTGCTCCCGCCATGGGTCGACAGAAGGAGCTGGTGTCCCGCTGCGGGGAAATGTTCCACATTCGCTACCGGCTGCTGCGCCAGGCGCTCGCTGAGTGCCTGGGGACCCTCATCCTCGTGGTGAGTGGAGGGAGCCCGGGAGCCCTTCTCTCTCCAGCCCCACCCTCCCTCACCCCGCTCTTCACCCGAGGGGCTGTGTTTAGCGCTTCAAGACAGCCCTGACTCCCATTTGCCAGCTCTGACCACCCAGGCTTGACTCCCTCCAGACCCTCTCCCTCATATAGCTCTAACTCCATCTGTGACAGCTCTGACTCTTGCCAGAATGACAGCTGTTACTCCTCAGTGCCAGCCCTGATCCCCTTACTCTTCCACAAGGAATCACCCTGCAGTCTGAGACCTCCAGCTCCTTTGGCCTCTCACAGCCCCCCAGGGTTCCAGGGTGCCAGCCCTGGGAGACAGTAGGGCAGAGGTGAATGGGCCTCTATTAGGTTATTTAGGTTCTGGGTGTCTGACCACTAATGAATAATTAAGCTTCAGAAAGTCCAAAAGTTGCAGTGAAGTGAGGACAGTTTGCCACGGGTGGGGGCTGAGGGCCGAGGCCAGGCAGACACTAAACAGCAAAGTGGGAAGAAATGAGGATCCTGAAGACAGGAGGCTGCCAAATGAAGCTGGGGTCCTGAGTGCAGAGCAGAGGACGTGATGTCCTAAAGTTGCTTCCCTGTCAGTTCCCCAGACAGATGCTGTCAGCTCCTGTGCAGAGGTTGTTGGCACCTGCGGTCCTGCCCAGCCTCTTAGTTACTCCCTGGGTTCTCTGAGTCGGATAACTTTCCCCACCTGGGCTACTCCTCAATCCCAGCTACTCTCTGCTTATGCCAATTTTGCCCCTGGGTTGTTCTTTGGCCTGGTAGACACACCAGTTACAGTCTCCATTTTCTGTCCCAGTTACTCTCTGATTTTCAGTCACTCAGGTGGTTACACCTGTTTTGTCCTAGGTTACTTCTGGTTCAGTCTCCTCTTTGCTCCAAGTGGGTGGGTTACTCTACTCCTGCCCAGCCCTAGCCTGGGGCAATACAGACCAGCCAGCCCACTGTGGGCTAGGAGGCTTCACAGTAGGCAAGTAGTGGTGGGTGGGGGTATTGTTGTTGCTAAGTGCTGTGGAGTCAATCAACTCATAGCAACACCATGTGACAGAGTAGAACTACCCCGTAGGGTTTTCTAGGCTGTAATCTTTTTGGGAGCAGATCACTAGATCTTTCTCCTGTGCAGCCACTGAGTGGGTTAGAACTGCCGATCTTTTGTTTAGCCATTAAGTGCTTAACCGTTGCATCACCAGGGCTCTTAGGGCTGGGGGTAGTCCACTCCAAAGTAGTGGCAGTCGTGGGGCAGGGTCTATGGGAGAGGAGGGCTGAGACTCACCTCTGGCTGTGGAGAGCAGAAAGGAGGGCAAGCCAGGTGGGGCAATTTGTCCACAGCCCATCACAAGACCAGTGGCCTCACCAGTCGTCACCACACCCCTCCTTCCCCTGTGCCAGTATGGGAGTTGGGGGAGGTGCTTATCACCCTCCTGCCTCAGGTCTTGTGTGCCCTACTGCCCACCTGAGTCATGGGTCTATGGTTGTTTTGGAGCAGCCAGGACAGGGGAGTGTCTTCCATATGGTAGATGGGACTCCTTATGGTCTACCATGTCTCAGTTCACCTCTGCCCACAGAGGAGCAATCAGTCCTCAGGCTGTACCCTAGGATTACTTGGCTTATCCCAGACCACAAAAGGTGGGTATCATGTTTGTGGAGAAGGCTTTCAGGCTCAGGTGGGTGTGAGGCAACAGGTATCAGTGAAAACCAGAAACTCAAGGGCTGCCTGAAGAGGGGCCAGGCCTGAAAGACCCTACCCAGAGCAATGGGTAAGGGTCTGCCTGCATACCTCTATGGATAGGTTCCCATAGCCTGCAGTGGTAGAATCAGGGCTAGCTTTGAGTGAGAGAAGCCCCTTTCTCTGAGGTACCTGGTGGGGGAGGGTGGCTGGCCAAGAAGACTGGGGAGAGGAAGAGGAAGATTAGCCCCAAAGTGGTGAAACTGGCTCTGACAGCTCCTCCCTCTAAGGCCTCCTGGGATGGGGCCAGGTCTGGGCCTCAGGCATGCAAGGAGCTGAGGTCAGGGCCTGCCAAGCTGGGCAGGGTGCCCAAGACCCATATGTGCCTGACCCCTGCCCCCCTACACCCACAGTCTCTGATCTTTGTTCTCACCTGCCTGCACACCTTTGCCCTCCATTATTGCCATCGGCATCGCCACTATTTCTTTTTGAGGGATGATAACCAAAATGCTTAACAAGCCAGGACAGTGACCCATTGGAATGAACTAGGGCCCTTAGCACTGGGGCAGGATCCTGGAAACTGCTTAAAACCTTTAGTTATGGAAAGGTGGGAGAGGGGACCTGGGGCGGGGACTGGAGCACTCTGGGGAGCGCTCAGAGGGCTTGGGGCAATAGCTCTTTTTTTAATATTTTTATATATATATTTTTATATTTGAACAAGGGGAACAGCCAGACAGGACCTTTTATACTTGTAGAACACCAGGGGTATACCGTAACTCCCTTTATTCTCCTTGTCCCTATCAGAAAGTTCAGAAAGAGTCTCCTCATTGGTCTTGAAGTAGTGAGAGGAGCCACTCAGATCCCTGTCTTTGGGACCCCCAAATCTGAGTGGGGACCCTGGACTGCTGAGGGCAGAGAGGTCAGGGTGGGTGGAGAGAGGAGACTCACCTTGTCAGGGACAGGTTAAGTAGGACCTGTTGTGAGGTTGCTGAGACGGAGACACGGCAAGGACTGGGGCAGGGGCTCTGACATCCCAGATTCAGAGGAAGTGGCTTTAGCCTCACTTCTGAGGCAACTGCAGCTGGGGGATTCAGAGTGAAAGCCTCCCCAGCAATCTGGGCCAGGCCTAAAGGGCTGGGGTAGAAGGTGTGCTAAGGTGAAAGCTGTTCTCCTACACTCCACTCCTGCTGGGATTCAAGTCCATCAGTGAAGATGTCCCAAGCAGGCTGTGGAACCCAGTTTTTGGGGCTCCTGGTGGCAGGCTCTGCTTCTAGTCCATAGGGCCCTATAATATTAGAGTTGGGACATTGGGGGTGGCAGGGCATGTCTCCTTCTTCTAGGGGGTGCAACTGCAGCAGGAGGGGTTTGGGTTGGACTCTCAAAAGGCTGCCAGCTCTCCTGATAGTGGCAGGCAGAGGTTGCTGGCTTCACCCTTTCCCTCTGGCATGAGAACTGGTCCTTAGCTGGGCATCACCCTCCCTGTCTTGCTCTGTTTCCTGCCACAGATGTTTGGCTGTGGCTCTGTGGCCCAGGTCGTGCTCAGCCGGGGCACCCATGGAGGCTTCCTCACCATCAACCTGGCCTTTGGCTTTGCCGTCACTCTGGGCATCCTCATTGCTGGCCAGGTTTCTGGTAAGGCCTTAACCCCACCTGCAGTCCCCTCCCCTCAACAGCATTCTCACCAGGTGTCCCACTGGGGAATGGGATGAGGGAGGGATTAACAAGGGCAGGACATAGCCATGGCCTCAGCTTTGGGCCCTTGGGAGAGGAGGGTGGAGAAGGAAAGGTAGCTTTGGAACTTAACACAGAACTTTTGACTCTCACCTTGGAATCAGAGATTATCAGAGTTAGCCTGTTACATAGTCCAACCCACCATCCTGTACAAGAAACCCTTCTCTGCACCCCTGCTTGCTGGGGCCAGAGAGGAGGAAGATGTTGGAGGCCCTGGCCTCTCCACTGTGGCAGGCTGTGGCTAATAGATCCCATCTACCCTGTGCCCAGGGGCCCACCTGAACCCTGCCGTGACCTTTGCCATGTGCTTCCTGGCGCGAGAGCCCTGGATCAAGATGCCCATCTACACCCTGGCTCAGACGCTGGGAGCCTTCCTGGGTGCTGGGATCATTTTTGGGCTGTATTATGGTAAGCATACCCCAACCTGCCCTCCTCCACTACCTCCTCCCCTCTGGCTCTGGGCCTGCTGGCACCAGGCCTTTTGATGACAGACAGCCAGGGTCTGCCCAGGCCTCAGGCTCATGACTCACTCATTCACACACAGACCCAAGGTGGGGGACCCCAGGGGACAGTTGGGCAACAAAAGCATCTTGGGCCCTCTATCCCAGCCAACCCCACACCCTCTAGCTCCAAAGTAATACAGCAGTGATAGTACTCACTCCTGACCCCTGGGAGTGTATTCAGGTCCCAAGGTGAGAGGGGAGGCTGGGCTCAGGCCTCTGCCTTTATTTGCTCTGAGCCTAATCTCTCACCAGATGCAATCTGGGCCTTTGCCAACAATGAGCTTATAGTCTCAGGCCCCAACGGCACAGCTGGCATCTTTGCTACCTACCCCTCTGGACACTTGGACACGGTCAATGGCTTCTTTGACCAGGTATGGGCTAGGGACATGTGAAAGGAATAGAGGGAGGAGGCCAAAGCTGCTCCAGGTTGTTCATGGGGGATGAGACTCCTCTACAGTGGGGTTTCTCAATATGTGGGGATGCCTGCATCAGAATCATGGTGGCAGGTACTTATAAAAAATGCAGAATCCTAGGAATCTGCATATTTAACCAGCTTCCCGGGGGATTCTTGTGCACTCAAAGTTCTAGCACCACTGCGCTAGAGAGCAGAGTATGGAGACAGCGAGACTCTGTGAGCTAGAGGGAAGCCAGAGGACAAGAGGGACCAGAGGGTGGGGAGGTGCTGCTTCTCACCCCGTGCTCTCCCACTCTCCAGTTCATTGGCACAGCCTCCCTCATTGTGTGTGTGCTGGCCATCGTTGACCCAAACAACAACCCCGTCCCCCGGGGCCTGGAGGCCTTCACCGTGGGCCTGGTGGTCCTGGTCATCGGCACCTCCATGGGCTTCAACTCCGGCTATGCTGTCAATCCTGCCCGAGACTTTGGCCCCCGCCTTTTCACCGCCATTGCTGGTTGGGGCTCTGATGTCTTCACGTGAGTGCAGCCCCCACCCTAGCTTGCCCCAGCCTGCCTCCCCTCTGCCCTGCCCCACCTGCCCCTGAACATGTCTGTCTGCCCCCCAGGACCGGCAAGCACTGGTGGTGGGTGCCCATTGTCTCCCCACTCCTGGGCTCCATCGCCGGCGTGTTCGTGTACCAGCTCATGATTGGCTGCCACCTGGAGCAGCCCCCACCTTCTACTGAGCAGGAGAATGTGAAGCTTGCCCGCATGAAACACAAGGAGCAGATCTGAGTGGGCAGGGGCCAGTCCCCATTGCTCCCTCCTTTGAGCATCCACTGACTGTGCAGGGGCCACTCTCTAGATGCCCCCTCATGACCTCCCTCCCAGGCTAAGAAGCTCCTTGCCTATTACCACCTCGCTGGACGGCTCCCTTAAGGATTTTCCACTGGACCCTGCCCAAATGGAACCTCAGGCCACTGCCCTTAAGCTATGGTGGGACAGGGAGCAGGGCCAACACATCCCTTTGTCTCCCAAAGGGAGAGAATGGGCAGTAGGGATCTGTGTGTGTGTGTGTGTGTGTGTGTGTGTGTGTGTGTGTGTGTGTGTGATTCTCCAGATGTTCAGGGCAAGGAACCAAGTAGAAAGGATTCTAGCTGTGGGGGAACCCCAGAGGAAGGGGAAGGTGATGTGTACATATGTGAGGAAGGAAAGTGCCAAGGGTGTGCATGTTTCAGGGGCTCCATATAGAGGAAGGTCCTGATATATGTGTTTTGGAGTATGTGTGTGTCTGCCCTTTTTTTCTAACGGGGGCTTCTGAAGGCTTTTGGGAGGTGGGGTAGGAATATAGGTAGGGTTGCAGGGAGGGGAATCACAGCCTGGGTGTTTGGAGTTCTGGCTTTACATAAGTAGGAGCCATGTAATGTGCTTCTGGCATAATCTAGGCCTGAGCAGGTGGGGGTCAAGTCCAGGTCATAAGTGTCATGTTTGCTTAAAAAAAAATATATATATATAGCAAATTTACATACAGTTTAAGAGGTAGGGTTTGAGAGACTTCACTCCAAATATGGTCCTCACTCCTTTAATCCTCCACTCAGTATATGTACTTCTTTGTCTTTTATAAAAAAAATAATAAAATGTGTGCCCAAAACTGTCAATTGTGCAATATCTCTGCTTGCTTTGCTGCTTCTCTGGGGCCAGATAAGGAGCTTCAGTGCATCTGGCTACAAATACCCAAAGTGCCCTGCTCGTGTCATTAACCTGGCCAGGGTACCCTGGGAGTGGGGAGGCAGCACTCCAGCCCTTCCCTGGGGGATATGGGTCAGTGACACAGAGAAATCAGAAAGCCTCTTCACCAAGCCTCTCAGCTTAAACTCAGGGGTCCCAAAATTCCCCCTAAGCTTCCACCCTCCTGAGTGCTGCCAGCATAGTGCATGGCATCTCCTTTCCAATCCCTGAACCCACTCATCACCCCAGGAAGGCAGATTTGAACTGCCTGAAGGGGAGAACTGCTGCCCAAGAAGTAGTGAGCTCCCTGTCACTGGGGGAGACTAAACAGACCAGGGACCCGTACTGTTCTCTGCAACCTGCAGCTGTTCAGGCTCCATCACCTCAACCCTCACCATGGTCACAGCCCCCTCAGCAGCTGACCTGCCCCAGTCAGTCCACATAGCAATCAGAGGATCTTTCTGAAACTCCTCCTGAAAGAGGGGCTCTTTCTGTGGCCCTTCTGGCCCTTGGGAGATAGTCCAAAAACCCTTCTATCCAGCATTCAGGCTCTCCAGAACCTGGCCTCTGTCATTAGGGACAATACCTCTTCATAATACTCCATCCATCCTGGACTACCCGGTGTGCTCCTATGCTCCTTCTTACCTTCAGCTCTTTCCTCATCAAAATCCTCCTAATCTGCTCTAATGTGCCCTCCTCCACAAAGTTGACTCTGCTCTTCCCCACTCTTCCACCATTGGCTATAGTCAGTTACCTGAGCCCAGAGACCTCAATAATAACATTCATCCCTGTCCCTCCCTCTGCCTCATTTCTTCAGTCTAGGGCACCTCCAATAAGGTAGGAGTTGGACTGACTGACCCTGGCCCCCTGACCGTCCAGGGAAGCTGGGCACACCTGAGCCCAGGAAGCTCTGCAGGAGATCATGTGCCTCCCATCTTGCCTTCTCCTTCCTTACCAGATCCTCCCCCTTACCAGATCCTCCCCCTTACCAGGTCCTCCCCCTTACCAGTTCCTCCCCCTTACCAGGTCCTCCCCCTTACCAGGTCCTCCCCCTTACCAGGTCCTCCCCCTTACCAGTTCCTCCCCCTTACCAGTTCCTCCCCCTTACCAGGTTCTCCCCCTTACCAGGTCCTCCCCCTTACCAG